GGATGTAGTGACCATCTTTGTCTCTCTTAATTAGTTTTTGTTTGAAATCTACTTTGTCTGCAAATAAGATTGCTACCCCTGCTTTTTTCCGGGTTCCTGTCACATGGAGAACTGTTTTCCATCCTTTTACTTTCAGTCTATGAATTTCTTTTTGAGTTAGATGTGTTTCTTGTATGCAGCATATTGCTGGATTTTTGCTTCTTAATCCATTCTGTCAGTCTATTTCTTTTGATTGGTAAATTGAGGCCATTAACATTGATGGTTGTAATTGATAGATATTGACTCAGCCTTATCGTGATGTTTTACTGTTTTTGGTTCTTTTATTTTTTATTTTTCCCCCTTTCCCTTTAGTTTCTTGCCTTGCCTGGTGGCTTCCCTCTGTTGGACCTCATGGAGTTGTGACCTTCATTGTCTTTTTCTAGGATATTGTTTAGAATTGTTTGGAGTGCTGGTTTGGTGTTCATGAAATTTCTCAGGTGTTCTTTGTCATGGAAGTATCTAATTTCCCCAATGATTTTAAAAGATAATTTTGCAAGATACAGCAGTCTAGGTTGGAAGTTATTCTATTTTAGGGCTTGAAATACTTCACTCCAGGCTCTGCTTGACTTGAGGGTTTGTGTTGAGAAGTCTGCTGTGATTCTGATGGGCTTTCCTTTGTGTGTGATTTATTTCTTTTTCTAACTGCCTATAGGATTTTGTTCTTCTGTTAGGTTTCTGGGATTTTGACTATTATATGTCTTAAGTGTAGATTTTTTTTGATCATGGCTAGTTGGAGTTCTATGTTCCTCAGTTATCTGTATGTCCAATTCTCTACCTCTGTCTGGGAAGTTTTCTACTATTACTTCTGTGAACAGTTTTTTTATGTCAGTTGTACTTTCTCCTGCTTTTTCGTGGAAGTGTGTTTCTGGTATGTAGCATATTGTTGGATCTTGCTTCTTGACCCATTATACCAGTCTCTTTCTTTTGATTGATGAATTGAGACCATGGACATTGATGGTTATAATTGATAACTATAATTGATAACTAAATAGGATTGACTTATCCTTGTCATGACTTTTTCTTTTTGTTGGATTCTCCCCCTTTGCCTTTAATATCTTGTTGTGCCTGATAGATTCATTCTGCAGAACTTCCTGGGTTTGTGATCCTCGTTGTCTTTTCCTAGGATATTGTTTAAAATTTTTTGGAGTGCTGGTTTGGTATTCGTGAAGTTCCTAAAGTGCTCTTTATCATGAAAGTATCTTATTTCTCCATCAATTTTGAAAGATAATTTTGCCAAGTACATCAATCTGGGCTTGAAATACATTGCTCCATGCTCTTCTTGCCATGTGGGTTTGCATTGAGAAGTCTACTGTGATTCTGATGGGCTTTTCCATTTTATGTGATTTGTTTGTTTTCTCTAATTGCTTTTAGAATTTTGTTCTTCTGTGGGGTTTCTGGAATCTTAACTATTATATGCCTATGTGTAGATATTTTTGATCATGGCTAGTTGGAGTCCTATATGCCTCACTTATCTCCATGTCAAGTTCTTTTCCCCTATTTGGGAAGTTCTCTGCTGTTACTTCTGTGAACAGTTTTTTTATGTCATCTGCACTCTCTCCTGTTTCTTCCTTGACTCCAGTCTCTCTGATGTTATTCTTCTTTGCATCGTCTAGCAGCTGCTGGATTGATTTCTCATGGTCCCTTACAATTTTGAAGCAATTTTTCTTTCCCTGGTTACTAATTGCAATCCTATCTTCTGTATCTGAAATTCTATCCTTGCATTGGCTCATTCTGCTGGGTAAACCTTCAGTGGAGTTTTTAATCTCCTGGAAATCTGTTTGGATCTGTTTTATGGATTCCATTTGTTTCCTACGTTGGGATTCCGTCATATTCCTCAGCTCCTCTATTTTTTTTTATCTGTTTTTGCTCTAGATTTATTAATCCTATCTTGTAGTATGGGCGCAGTTTCTGCTGTTATCTGAGAAATTATTTCTGATTTCATTTTTTCCAGGTCCCCTTTCGGTGCCAGCTCAGGAAGTCCAGGTGGTTGTGTATCAGATTGTTTCATCTCATTGCCCTTTGGGGTTCCCTTAGGTGATCTTGAAGTCTGGTTTTCGGACTTATTTATGTGTCTTCTCATTTCAGTAGATGCAGCCTCACCCAGTGGTCTTTAATTCTCAGTAAGCCACTGAGCAGCCTTTGCTCTGCTGCCCACCAGTACACCAGTTCCTCGGTTCAGAGTCATGGCCTTTTGGATCCCTGAGCTGACCTGTTGTCTGGGTGGACTTGTGGCTGGGTCCTGAGCACGCTTGGGATGGTATCTAGGTGTGCCTCTTGCTGGGGCCCCTATGTAGCTATTGTCTGGGAGGGCCTTTGGTTGGGGGCTGTGCACCCCAGTTTCTGTTGTCTGCACAGGTGTTGGCTAGGGTCTTCTCACACTTATCAATGGTATCGGGGTGAGCCTCTGGGTATTGCTTGTGTGCCTGTACAGCTCTTCTCTAGGCGGGTCCCTGGCTGTGGCCGATGGTATGACGAGCCTCTAGCTGAAGCCCATGTGCCTGTGCAGCCCCTTTCTGGGTGGGCCTTTGGCTTGGGCGGGTGTGCCTGAGCTTCTGGGGTTGGGGCAGAGGCCTGGCTGGGATCCGCTGGCAGCTGGGCTGGACCACACAGCTGCTCCCTGGGATCTGCAAGTACTCACCGATGGAATGGCGGGCCTGGCGGGAGCAGACGTGCCCGTGCAGCTCCTCTCTGGGCAGGTTCCTGGCCTGGGGGTGTGTGCCTCAGCCTCTGGCGTCAAGGTGGACCCCGGGCTGGGATCCGCCCGCAGCTGTGCCTGTCTGAGCCACATAGCTGCTTCCCAGGATCTGCACGCAACTGACCCATGGAATCGTGGGCCTCCCATGTGCTTGTGGTTTTCACCCAACAGTACAGTCCTTCCAGAACCAGTTCCAGGAATCCACATGTCATCAAAGAGCTGTGGGCTGTACTTGAATATGTATTCACACCTTTAAACTAGAAAGTCAATTATACTGTACATTTTAATTAAATTTTAATTTGGTTTCAGATAAGCTGTCTGTGGGCATAGACCCTACCCCTTTTCCATTTCAGTCTAATTACTATATTTGGTGTGATATTAAAACTTAACTATCAAGATTAAATCAGAAAATCCTGCTTGCTTCATTTTTTTGATTTTTCTTTTTCTTTTCATGTAAAGCGGGCAGTGGCTTAGGTCAAGCAGTAAATGAAAGCAAAAATGCTAAGTGCTGGTGTTTAGTCAGCAGGTGGAGCTCAGATCCTTTCAAGTTCTCAAAAGCAAACTATGACATCGCATACAAAGGTTTTCTTTGATTATAAAAAGAGCAAAATCAAAAGGTAATTATTTATACTAAGGTTTTTCAGTTTTAGAGAATTTCACATTTTTAGTTGGTATAATCATTTTCCCCAAACAAAATAAATATAAGAAAACTGCTTGTTCCGTCAAAAATTTTTTAAATCTAGAGCTTAAATTTTTACTTCATAGTTCTAATTTTTTGATATTTAGAATTAAATATTTTCCAATATTTCTGGATAGTTTTATTTTTCTGACATTCATAAAATGTAAAATGTTTTCTTTCTTTTTTTTCCTTTGCTTTGGGGATCAAACTCAGGACCTTGCACTTGCAAGGCAGGTACAGCGCCACTGAACCAAATCCCTGGCTCCATAAAATGTTTTCTTATTTTGTTAGTACTAGCAAAACATTGTTTCCCACTGCTATTTTCTGTATAAATTTTCAGAAGTAGAGAATTGATAGAAAAATTCCATTAAAATCTAAAGAAATGTATTTCAAATGAAAGTATGACAATTTAGGTTGCTTGAAACCTTGGTTTATCTTTCTTGGAACTTATAATACCATAGTGACTTAAAACTAATTGCTCCAAAAGATATTTGTTTTAGTGGCATTAGCCAGGGAATATTTATTTTGTAAAAGTCTAAATATTTTGAATTGTGAAGTGAACCATAATATAAAATACCTTATATTTTCAATATGGTTCATTTTTACACAGTTTCCAAATGTCACAAATCAAATCATATCCCTTACTTTATTTATATATATTTAAAACCGTATAGTAAAAATTCAGATAGGACATGATTTGCTCACAAGAGAGTGTTATTTCTTTCATCTTCAGAATAGTTTATGATATATTTGGTGTTGGTGGAGGAAAGGAACAAAAAAATGAAAACCTTTAAGACTAGAATCTTAAATTTATTTTTTAGAGTGCTATTCTTTATTTTATTTTATTTTATTTTTGGTACTGGGGATCAAACTCTGGACCTGGAACTTGTGAGGCAGGCAGCGGTACCACTAAGCTAAATCCCCGGCCTTTGAATTTATTTTTAGAAATGGAGCCAAATTCAGAACATTGAAATGGAAGATTGTGTTATTTACAACTTCTGTCTTTCCTATGTGAAAAACATAAGCAGTTGTTGTGAGGAATAATGCAATGATGAAATTAAATCTGCCATTTTTTCGATTCTCAACTTGGTAATACAGACGTTTCCCAACTAACAATGGTGCACTTGTAATATTTCAACTTTACAATAGTGTAAAGGCAATGAACATTTAATGGAACAAATTTTGATTTTGGTATTTTCCTGGCTACTGATACAGGGATAATACTCTCTGACAGTGCTGAGCAGCAGCCATGAGCTGCAGCTCCTAGTTGACCAAGTACCCACAACAGTAAACCACTGATGCTCTACAGTGTACCGTGTTGCTAAGCTGTCATGTTGCATGAGGTAGGTTTATGAACTGCATTTCGACTTTTAATATTTTAAACATTATGATAGGTTTATCGAGACGTAACCCCATCATAAGTCATGTGCATATTGTACATATGAAATACAACTATAGGAAAAGTATTGATAACCATTCTGTATATTCATATACAAATTAGATTACTTCATTAGAAAAAGTATGTTTTATCTCAGTACCTTAGTAACTAAATAACCAAATTTTCCTCTGGGTTTATTTTTTCTTTAGGACTTTCCAAATGGATAAGACAGCAGATTCAGCACCATTTAACCTTTGAAAGTGCCTTGGAGTCCTTGGCTGAATTTTCCAAAAAGCAGCAAAAACTCATTAATGTATCCAAAAAGGACAGAAAATGTACACAAGATGACTCTACTCTTGAAGTGGCCTGTTTGGAGAACAGTACCCCTACTTGTTTGTTGGAAGCGGCAAGTCATCTGTCACCAGAAAATCCTAGGGAAGATGAAGCAAAAATGCATGTCCAGGAACTACAATGTCCTAAAATGATGACTAAAAATCTATCTCCACCTAATGACATCATCTCCAGAAAGGAAAAACGTATGAAAAGTCCTTTCCTTTTACATTTGATAGAGAAGTCATTATATAATAGTGAAATGATATTTATATTGGTATAGATTACTTTCCTTAAGTATGTTGGTTTGTAATAGTGTTATCATAGCCAGGCTGGTGCACATATCTGTAATCCTAACTACTTGAGAGGCTGAGGCAGGAAGACTACAAGTTCAAGGCCACCTGGGCAACTTAGCAAGATGTTGTCTTAATATAAATAATGAAAGGTGCTTTTGAGTCATAATAGAAAAACGAATACCTGCCTAGCTATTCCTCCAGGTTTGGTTATAAACCTCAAGTAAGATGATAGATATCAGAGCATCATAAGGTTAAATGGACTCACATATTACAGACAACAAAGTTGAGCAGTTTTATGCATTCCACTAGAAGAGCTTACAGTAATTGAGTAGTTGCAACAGAGACAATATGGCCCTCAAAGCCTAATATATTTGCCACCTGGACTGTAAAAGAAAATGTTTGCCAAACTCTGGTTATTGGATATAATTTTAAGTTTTTAATTTATATGTCATTTTAGCTTAATATATCTATTTTTAAACATTAAATGTCATAGTGAATTCAAGGCCATTGTACTAGAAACCTAGGTTATAGTATTGGTCTTAACTACTATCCAGTTATATAACTTTGAGTAAACTCATAGCTTTATGGTTGTAAGTTTCCTTGGTGATTAAGGCAGTTCTTCTCAGTCACCAGTTAGTGGATTTCCAGGTAATTTTTCAGCCTGTTCCTTCCTTTATTCAGCCCTCTTCCTCTTCCAGATCCCTGATGTGCAATTTGATCATTTCCTGGACAGCATTATAACTTGGGCTAGGAAACACTGGAGATATGATATTCCTTTCAGAGTTAGCATTCTGTTCTTTTAAATTCTGGGAAGAAAGTTCAGTATTGCTGATTTTAGTCTCTAAATTATGTACTCTATGCAGTTGCTTTACTATTTCTAATAAAAATTATAACCTAACAATTATAATGTTAGCTAGGAAGAGAAAGTTAAAAGTCTCAAATTTTTGTATTCATAGATGATCCAGGATCATTGGAAGAGTCTGTCCAGGCAGTGAAAGCAGAAAAAAATGTGATTTCCAGATCCACAAGGCCAACATTCAACAAACTAACAAAAAGAATTAGCTGGTCTGGCTTTAATTTGAGGGGACCATATTTTACTGATAAAATACAGACGAAAATACCTGAGCTCCAGTCATCAGAGAACTGTGCCTCTAGTACTTCCACTTTTGAAGCCGAAAAAATAGAAAATAAAACCATTTTGCCTCTCACTGTTAAGTCTGAGTCCTCAGATCTAACAGCAAACACATCATTTAGGCCATCCTCCCAGTCAGAAAGCACTGTGCCATCAATAGAGATTGATGCTACTCATACTAAAAAAGATGACTCAGAACAACTTCTCTGCTGTAAAGAAACCTTGGACCTGGATATTGCATTGTCTCTTGGAAGCAAAGAAGTTAGACATTCCAGTCCAAATAGATCTTTTGAAACAGAGGAGGAGGAAGAAGATGAGTCTATCTATTTTACACCTGAGCTTTATGATCCTGAAGATGCAGATGAAGAAAAAAGTGAGCTAATAGAAACTGATAGACTCAGTAATGATTCATTTACATTTTAGCAGAAGACCTTTCTGAAATTGGAACTATGAAAGGAGTGGATTCAGTCAGAGAAATGAAAACTGAGGATTTCACAGATACAAAGTGGAATAGAATCATGCATACTGAAAAAAATGATGACATTGATAGTAATGTAAAATGTGTAAAAAAGTTGGAGCTGGTAAAAACTCATGGAATAGAAGTAACTTTAAGCAGTAAGTGGCTCCTGATGTTAGGTAATAATAACTTATTGTCAAGTTATAAAAATATGTTGTCATGCTTTTGTCAAACTATTGTAAATAATTTATACATTGGATAAATGATTTTTTAAAAATCTAAGATACACTTTTTCAGTGTCAGATTTTTAAGTATTTCATATTCAAGAAACTAAGTTACTATTTTCAACTTTTGATAAAGTGATTCTTAAAAATTATTATCCTCCAAGTGTTACTTAGCTAAATGCACTTTAAAATTAGTCTGAAAGACAGAGTTTCTTAGCACTTCCAATTTCATGTAACTTCATATTTTATAGTTTTATATTCCTCTTTACCCATTTGTTTTCATCCTGATACATGAAGATTAATAGCAGTTGAGTCTAGTCATACTTCTTATTTCACTATAGATTTTACATCAGATTGATCTTTTTTTCTGTTTTAAGAAATCAAAGTTTGTCTTGGAAAGTTTAATCCCTTATTAAACTGCCTTATAAGTAAGAAAAAGTAAGGAAACTCCTGTTTTGTTTTGTTTTGTTTTTCTGCAGTACTGGGGATTGAACCCAGGGCCTTCACACTGAGCTACATCTCTAACCCTTTTTTATTTTGAGATAAGGTCTTGCTAAGTTGTCCAGGCTGGACCCGAATTTGAGATTCTCCTGCCTCAGCTCCCCAGAGTGCTAGGATTACAGACATGCACCACCATGTCTAGCTCATTTTTATTTGAAATTATTTTGGTTTTTTGTTGATAAAATTAAAATCAAATGTGTCATAAAATTATGTAAAGTTATAAAAAGCCAAATGAAATATTCCAGCTGTTCAATTTTAATTATTTAGCTTCACTGTCATTGTGAGAAAAAGTGAGATGTGGTCCCCAGCACTAACCCCCCAAAAGTGATGAACATAAAGCTTTAATTAGGTTATTTTTAAGACAGAAAACTTCATATATAAATTTAATAAGCAAACCTGCATATATACCATTAGCTGAAATATATTCCTTTGGAGAACAATAATTGTTTCTGTGACTTGAATATGTTTTAAAGAATGAAACTATATCTAATCAACAATAGTTATAAAAGACACTTGTCTCTTCTAAGAAACATGCTATTCAGTGGGCATTTAGACTTCTGGATGGTTTGAATGAAGCTTGTGTGTGTGTGTGTGTGTGTGTGTGTGTGGTGCTGGGGATCAAACCCAGGGGTTCATGCATGCTAAGTAGTTGCTCTACCACTGAGCTACATACAGTATATCCCTTCTAGAACTGAACTTTTGTGAGATGGTCAAATGGTAGGTATGGTCTGTTATTATGAAGTCAGAATTCTCAGTAATCAGATACTTTATACATTCACTTAGATAAAAGAAAATAATTTTTTTTTACTTTTATTAGTACACGTTTGTAGTATGTAATGATTACATTCACTGTAGGGGATTGGTACATGTGCATAACCATTTCAATTCCCTTCTTCCCTTCCCCCTTTATTTTTCCAGCATCAGGTTCATTTATTTATCTTATAAGACCGTATAAAGTTAATTATCATATATTCAGGTTGAAAACCAGACTAATAGGTCAAAGAACATATAAAACATGTAAGACAACTGTACTAAATCATGGTACACTTTTAGATACATTGTGCATATTGGATTAGCTTTTTTTTATTCTCTTTTTTCCTATTATCTGTCTTTTATTTTGTACTTTATATATAGAGAGAGTTTTTCATATAAGATATGCAGTATTTAAACTTGTGTGTCTGAGTTACTTCACTTAACATGTGTATGCATATGTTTGCTTTCATTGTGATGACATTTAGATTTAAGATAGCCTACCTGCTTTAAAGCATTGGATGTTACAACAATATTTGAAAGACATTTAAATTGACAAAGGATTTATCTATAGATTGGAATATTTTAGATCCCACCTAGTACATACATTTTTTCTTTAGTTGCTTAGTAGTAAGTACCAAACACTAGATTAGAAGGTAATTTATGTTTTGTTTTGTTTTGGGGTTTTTTTGGTACCGGGGATCAAACTTGGGACCTTGCACTTGCAAGGCAGGCAGTAGAACCACAGAACTAAATCCTTGGCCCTGTATTTTTTTTGAGAGAGAGAGTGAAACCATTTCTCCCCATCTGTATTGATCTGAAATGGGTAATAGGTGGAGCTGAAATGTAGCTCGGTGGTAGAACTCTTGTCTCACATGGGCAAGGCTCTGGATTCCATCCCCAGCACCAGGAAAAGAAAAAGGAAAAGATAATTGGGTAGTAGAAAGAATACCAGGTGTAAGACAAGAGATTTGGCTCTGCCTCTGCGTTGCTAAGTCATAGTAATAACACTATGCCTTTCATGGAATTAGTTTCATTTGTGAGATCAGGAATTTAGTCATATAAAGTCATATAAATCCCTTTTAGGATTCAAAATCAATAATTTAAAGGAATATCTTTATATTTTACTGAGTCGGTTTTCATTTGCTTTTGTTAGAAAATGCTTAAAATAAAGCAGATCATTTTACAGAAAAGGTGAAATGACTCTTACCTGCATTTAAGGAACATATACATGTAATGTATACGTGCTAGCTTGGAAAGGTAGCTATTTATTTCGACAGTGCTGGAATTGAAACATTTTGAAAACTTTTGAAATTGCCCTTAGTAAAATTGGTAAACTATATGAAAGCATCAAACATAGTATTATTATTTTTATTTTTTTGTTGGTACCAGGGAACGAAGTAGGGACCTTGCACTTGTGAGCCAGGCGCAGTGCCACTGAGGTAAATTGCTGGCAAGCATATTATTTTATAGTTACATCATAGTGTTATTATCAGACTTGATCACAAATAGCACCCCCTTTCCCTGATAGGATATTTTAATCTTTCTCAAACCTGATACCCCTAAGGCCAAAACATTCCATTAGTGAGAATGTGCATAGAGAAATGCCACAAGATTTTAGTAATTCTAAAAGATGTTTTGAAAAATTTGTACAATGGTATTACTGTTGAAAATAGGTCTGTGGTCTTCTCAGAGCACAACTTTAGAAAAGTGACAGTCCAAGAAGTAATCTATTGGTTTTTATAGAGAAAGAGATGGACCATTTTCATTATCACGAACATCTTTAAAAAAAAGAGAGATGGTTGTAGAGTTAAATAAGTTAAAATACATAAAAACATTTAAGAGGGCCGGGGATTTAGCTCAGTGGTTTCGCCGCCTGCTGCGCTAGCGCAAGGACACAAGTTCAATCCCTAGTACCAAAAAAAAAAATTAAAAGAGTATGTGGTACATGGTAAGTCACCAGCTATTAGTAGATCCAATCATATATCTAGAATATATGTTTGCTTTATATGAAGCCTTCCCTAATTGTATATAGATGAGTATATATGGATCAAATGACAATAAACTGATACAGAGCAAAGGAAACATTATTTGGCTGATTTATTTTTAAACATTTGGAGATAAGTTAGAAATTCTTTATCAGATAACTTACACATTCAATACATATGAAATAATTATGTAATACTGAAGTTATTCAAGGCTGACAGTATATACAGCATACTAGCCATGAGCTATGAAAACTACTAGTTGGAGAAAGGGTTTATTTGTGAAGGAAGGGCATAATATAAAAGTATATGTTTCATGACTTGATATTTGAATTTTAGATGAATCAGCTTTCTAGAATTGTGTGAGAAATTAATGAGAACTCACTATGCTCCTATCATGCATTTTATTATCACATGGTTTTAATTTGGCACTGTACCTACATTCAAATGGATTTGTTTTTATTTTTATGATCTTAATTTTAAAGACTATTTCCATATTTTTCTGCAACAGGACTTTGTCATGTTATTATTTTCCTATAATAAAGCACATTCAAAATATTTAATTCTCTAAAACTGTTTATAAGACTTCTTCATGAAGTGAAAGTGCTTGTAAATTGACTTGAAAGACTGGTTATTGGAGTCATCTGTAAGTGATAGCAGTCTTTTAAAAATTTGATTATCACAATTATTTATGCTTTTTAATCTCAAGTTTTTCAGTGAGCTGCACAATAATTTAGTTTTTATAAATTCTTGGTGGTTTTCATAGGTAGATGCAGTCAACTTTTATGAAGATAGTATTAAAATTTTTCATTAAAAAATCACAATGTTTAAGGAAGCTAAAACTTTAATGTGAAATATCTGTGCAGCTATGAATCATAAAATAAAGACTATCACTTCAGAAAATGGAAATTTAGAAAAATGAACACAGCTTGTCCTAAATGATTTTCATGTCTAAAAAAAAAGTTTTGTTTCGCAAGGTTTCATTTGACCGAACCATGTAACTGCTCCAGTTTCCTGGACTCCACAGTGGAGCCTTGTTACACCATCCATGGAGTCTGAAACAGCGGATCACCTTATTGGTAAGACCACCTTATAATGAGGTGCTTTCAGTAACTAAATCTTCTTGGACTTGGTCCAAAATAACCCATCTTCCACCAAATTCCACTCTAGTAAATAAGCTTCAGTGTATTGGAAAGAAAACAAAAGATGTATGAAACTTATTGTTCCCAGAAATTAGGCTTTGAAAATCTAATGATAAATACTGATTAAAATGAATATTTTAAGTTTATAAAAATTAGGAGTGTATTTTAGTGCTTTTTATAATAAATTTATGTTTTTGGCTTGGCCTTTTTAAAGAAATTTATATCATTTTGATTATATTATTTTTGCACCCAAATTTAATCATTTCGCATTAAAATATTTTACACCAAGTTTTACAGAACTAAGGGCTGTGAGTGTACCTCAGTAGTAAGAGCGTGTGCCTAGTATGTGTGAACATACATTTACTGAACTTGATATTTGAAGTGTTTAATTGGGCATATTGCTATTACAAAATACAAGTGGGATATTTATGTAAAATATTAGGTGCCATAATTTTAAATATGTGATTCATATATAGTTGAAAGGTCTTATTTTAAATTTTTTATTAGTATACTTTCAATACATAATTAGTACATTCATCCTGAGGAGTTGTACATATACATGTCACAAGTTGAACTTTTAAAGGTATTATATAGGATGTATATTTTAATTTGTATATTTAGTATATTTCCCAAACTAATATTATGGTATTAATATTTAAATGTTGACTATCTTTCAAATGTTAACCTTTTTTTATTTGTTGCAAGAGGATTCAAGTAACCTGCCTTACCTATCAGAACTTTATGTCTTGCTTGTGAAGCTGAATTATTACCTAAAACAGAAAGAGTAGGAACTATAAAAGCTTACTTTGTACCATCCTTAGTGTTATTGTTGGAAATTAGGCATAACCTTAAACTAAAGGATTCTTTGTAATACAGAATAGGCTTACCAAAATATAAATTACAATAAAATAAATGAAAATATTAATATGTCTATATTTCATTCTTTAAAGTTGATTGGCAGGCAGTATATTTGGATTTTGTTACTATTAGACTTGGAAACATGTTCCAACGTTACCTGCTGACTTAATTTGGGTAAGCTATTTAACCTCTTAGAATTTAAAATGGTGATAAATAATTTCATAAGAAATAGATCAAACAAAGAAATACAGTAGAGCATTGATGGCAAACCTTTTCGAGCTTTCAATGAGAACAACCCACTGCACCACATGTGCCATAGGATAGCCACCACTGCAGTAGTGTATATAGAAGGTCTTTTGAATCAGGTGAGGAGAAAACAGACCTGCTCAAGGCATTCTTAAGAGTACAGTTGTAAGTAACCAAAAATGAATGAATTAAAATACTAAAAGATAATGACAGTGACTATTAGTGACTACATGTAACTAGAGTTTATTATGAGAAATAGTTCCTGTTGGTAATAATGGATTTTGATAATATATTTACTTGCTTTATTGTTACCAGTATATGCAATGATCCTCCATAGAGTTGTCTTCTAATTGACAAACATACCTTATCCACAAACACCTTAACAAATTACTGCCAGGCATTGTGGTGCTTGCCTCTAGTCCCAGGTACTCAGGAAGCTGAGGTGGGAGGATTGCTTGAGTCCAGGACTTCAAGGCCAGCCCAGGCAACATAGGAAGACATTGTCTAATCAAAAAATAATAACCTAAATTACTGTAATCAACAGTATTTTTATAAAGAATATATACCTATGATACAGCTTTCTTAATTTTTTTTACCTTATTTTTAGGACTATTTTTAAAGCCTTTTCTAAAAATACCAGGCTAATAAAAATCCAAAGAATCTTCCTGAATGTTAAACTAAGTCTCCATTGCTTAAATGAGTCAGAATATGGATCAGAAGAAAATGTATTTTTTGTCATTAGTGACACTCCTGCCCCTCCTTAAATGTTTAATGGCGTATCAGGCTTCAGAGAAGAATGAAGGTAAACTTAATGACTTCTGAAATGGAAAATAAATTAATATATAAATTGTTTTTAAAGATATATTTCACTGCCTTCAGAATTGCAAAGAAAACAAAAACCAGAATCTCAAACTCAATTTGCATGAAACCAAAAAATGTGT